TTAGGTATTATTTGAAAATCAACTTACTTCATACAAAAAGTACTGTATAATAACCAGGTGTATAAGTCCAAAGTCACTGTATGATGGTTAATTGTTGCACAGTAGTAGTACAGTTTGTATGAATCGAGTTGCTTTACAGGGTACCTAAACTGTTATTGTTCCTGCTACTGAGTAAGTCTAATCGTAATGAATCGTTTTTGTTACAGAATTTAGACTGTTTTAATTTAATTCAAATTGTTATCACTACTCTTAGTCAACCGCATTAATTAGACAGAAGCATGATATTATATTGCCTATAGTTTTCTTTAATAAATGGACCATCTAACATAAGATTTTTTTAATAAACTAATACACTAAATAACTATAATTTAGGATACTTAGAACATAATTTACGTAGATATTTGAGCATGTCAAAGGACTGACTAACCAGTTTTTGTTTGCTTATTTATTAAATGCATAATGCTGAACATAAAACACTGAATACATAGCAGAATAAAATAAAGTTTTATCTCGATTAAATCTTTAATAACTCGTAATAAAAAGAAAATCTAATAGAAATCAATAGGCATTGTAGGCGGGGTTGAGGCACGCTTCGTCTCGGCTTATTGCACTCAAAACTTGTAATTAACTGGGGCTGAATTGTATGGTATTGATGACACCTTAGCTTGTGCGTTTAATGAAATTACATGCCTTTATATCGGTGATATTAAATTGAATTTACTCGGATAGGACCGGCGCTACGAACTGATAAGTTACTGGCCTTTGTTATTTATATTACATATTATAAGGCAGAGTTAGTTAGTTAATCTCAACTAACAAAAACAACTCGTTCTAATTGAATAAAATTGTTATGAATACTCCGGAATAACATTCACGAAATCATTATAACATTAAAGCTACAGAGACAGTTGGAACCACTAGGCACAAATAGTTTTCTGTATGGAGTAATGCTGTATGGAGACAGGCTTATGGCTACCTCTCATAAGGATCTTACTTAAGAGGTGATCCATTAAAATAAATACCAGTTGGCAAATCTGTAGAGCAGTGTTAGAATAGTGGCTTCAGCATGCGACTCTCATCCCTGAGGTCGTAGGTTCGATCCCCGGCTGTGCACCAATGGACTTTCTTTCTGTGCGCATTTAACATTCGCTCGAACGGTGAAAGGAAACAGTGAAGAAACCGGCTTGCCTTAGACCCAAAAAGTCGACGGCGTGCGTCAGGCACAGAAGGCTGATCACCTACTTGCCTATTGATCATGACACAGATACTGAAATCTGAGGATCAGACCTAAAAAGCTTGTTGCGACATTGATTTTTTTTGGCCTATCCTAGTATGTTATAGCTTATACATATAAATTGCAAATTATACGAGAAAGCTATAACATACTTAAGTCAGACGTATATTGAAGACTTTTTTAAAATGAAAAAGCTATTTAAATGTATCAGTGTTATACAAATAGCCAGAAGACAAAGATGTCAAAAACAGTTAAATAAACAATTGTTTCATATATTTATTTGCAACTCCAATATAAGCCTTAAATCCCACGAATTGCGGTATTAATTTCTCTCTGACGCTTCTCTTTAACCGATTTACAATACCCATCAATCCATTTTGGACTTTATAAATGACGTATACGGTATGTTTTACGTCAGTGCAATGACAGTAAATTTTTAAAATAAAACATTGGAAATTGTGCGTTGTTGTTTTGTATTAAAGTGTATTTTTCTTTCGTTGTATTTTTGGGTAGGGTGGGGTATAGTGGACCACATGCGAGTCGCGTGCGCGGCACGCGTTTTCTACGGTAATCTTCTTTGGCTCTCTTTGTTACAATTTGTTGCCGCGATATCCCAACCCCCGTGAGATCGCCATCTCAGATATGATACGTAATGATATTTTAAATCAGTGTTCTGAGCTACTCAGCGGAACAATCTGGGCTTAATATCGTCGTATACTGTGTATTTTCTGTTTGTAATGGTATAAGCTGTTTCAGAGCTGTTTTTTACTTGGTTTTTATACTACATAAATTTACGTAGTATGTTCTTAGTTAATATACACATATTAGTTTTACCTAAAGTCTATATAAATGTGTTGTAAAATACACTTTAAAATATAATAGCGAAAACAAAATTCATACAAAATTTCTATAAATAATGGTATCATATAAATTGAATGTACAAAAAATGACACATCGGTCGTTGACAGTAACGTGACAAGAAAATATCGCGATACAATAAAATAAAGTTGTCATCCCCAGCAAAAGTGCCGGGAGCGTGCTAAATGCATTAATTTGGCCTGGATTTAGTGGCCCGGAAGTGATTTGCTACGGGAACGCATGCTCAACACGATATGACCCTATGACAACCCTGACGACAATTGACCCTCTCACCGCATATTTTTATTGTTAATTAAAATCGTACTGTAACATTATGGATATTAATCACACATTTGAACGGCAAAACGCATCGTTTAGGGCTGTGTATTTAGCAAGGTTGAGTGGTTTCGCTTTTTTAGTTAAGGGTCGTTAGTGTAAAGGTTTAACTAAAGTTTCGATCTTGTTTATTACTAAGCTAAACGAGGCTATTCAATTGTAGTAAACTAAAATTTTATTTCAACATGTAAATTATTCATTATGTTAAAAAGCAGTACGCATGTTCGTGTGATAATTATTGCATAAATTCCCTTCAGTTTTACATTATTTACAAAATTAGAACGGACGTCACTATAAATGGATCTCATGACGTTAATATATTCAACCTTTAAACACCCTTAAGCATAGATACGTAAACACGACAACCCTGTGCTCGATAAATACGACGAGAGCATGCATAATATTATCTACCTGTTTATAGACACCTAAGAGCCCTTCCTCCCCCTGATAACTTAAAGACTTTATCCCCTATACAGGAATTTTTACGGCAACAAAAGCCTTCATATTTTCTTTATTCGGCGCCGTGTCAAAATCGCCCGCTCTCCCCATCCATTGGAAAAGATGCTCAACTCTTTCGCACCTATTACGATATCCTATGTTCATCTCGTTTTGCAGATACCTTCCATTTGGGGGTTTTATGTTTTTCTCGATGTTCTTGGCGGAGGTCGTAATGCTTCTTTTTCTCGGAACGTCAACGACAGGATGATGGCGGGTTTTATTAATTAATTTATGTTAAGTATTCACAAGTATTCCGAGGGGTGTTTAGGAATTTACCCGTTGCTTAAATTTGACTTAATGACTGTTTTCACAGCTTAATCTTTCTTTTTTCGGCTCGCTTGTTTTTAGGAGATCATAAAAGAGTGAAACCTGTACTTAAATATAAGTGGTACTTGAAGTGTTAGTGTTTTGTTTATGTAAAAATGAGCTCGTGAGGATTCTACCTAACACTAAGTAAAAGTATATTTTTTATATAGTATAGGTATACGTTTACTGTTATAATCAACACAAACAGATGTAACATTTGTGATACATTTAAAGTTAAAATACAATTTAAAAGGCATGGATAATAAGTATAAACTAAATATTGATTTATAACTTAAAAACGTAATATTCTGATGTACAGGTACACCCTACCTCTATAGTCTACTATTCATAACTACAACGCACACATAGACAAAATATGTCAGCATGATACAGTGTGTTTCTTTTGTGCAAAGTATAAACTTGAACCTTCTAGGATTTCGTTCGTCTAAAATTATTTTGCATGGAACAAGAACTCGCTTTTTCAGATTTTTTTATTATAGATTTATATATTTAGTTTTCTTACCAGTCCATTAAGACTATTAGGGATATTTGTTTTTATTACAGCTTAATCACAATTTAACAGATGTATTAACATTTCGTGCAAGTATACAGAAATACAGTACAATTAAAATAAATAAATAAAAAGGAGGGCAACTGGTGGCCTTATCACTTTCGAGCGATCTCTTCCAGGCAACCCACGACTTAAACATGTGGTATAAGATTGTATCAAAGTAGATAGCAACATCCTGATACTGAGTCCTATTCCCGTGGAATCTAAAATGTGTTGGATAATGATGCTATACCATTTTTGTTGCCAAAAAATTTGAAACCAAAAACGTAAGCCGGATTTAACCATCCTATATGTGAGCCATCTAAAGGCTGTCCCAGAAGGGAGCCTTATTCAAAAAAGGGAAAGACGAAGAAAAAAGTTATAACGTCATATTGTTTTGCTACGGGGGGAGTGGGGTTCGTGGGGGCGATAAGGCGTTACGGCAGTACGATTTTATATCGCACTGAAATTATAGAGATTTTAAATGCCTGGCTGAAGCGCGTGTCTTTGTCTGCAGAACAAGGGTATAGCCTATTTTCTGTTATAAATTTCTTAAATTCATATGATACGAACTATCATGATGACATATTGATAACTATATGTATTACATATAAAATTCTCGTGTCACAATGTTAGTTACCATACCGAAACGGCTTGACCGATTTTTATCAACTTTTATATGCATATTCAGTAGGTCTGAGAATCGACTACTATCTATTTCATACCCCTAAGTGATAAGGGTGGACACCGAAATTTTTTTTTTTGAATAAAGTTTTTTGTTTTGATTTTTAATGATTCAGCATACAAAAATACATACAACCATTACATTTTCACCCCTCTACGACAAATCCCTATTTTGCATTATAGTAGATAGTTATTTTGTTGAACAAATAAATGTTTCCAAATGACTAAACGACGTTTGCCGTGTCAGCTAGTTATTATATAGAAAATGGATGTAAACTAATCGAAATTGCTACGAACTGATGATTTTACAGAAAAGTTGCTTTATAGCATAATCTTCGTAAACTCTTCATAAGTTCTCGAAAAGTACAAGAATTCCTCAGATAAAAACAGTTTTAATGTAATATATTTAATTTTGTTTTTTCATTTCTAAATTCAAGTAAAATTCCTTTAAACTTCAGATTAAAGTTTAATGGTTATCAGAACACTTAATTTAGCCTCTTTACATATATCAGTTCTAATAAAAATCGTACTTACACTAGGTATATTATCCGAAGAACAGACTCCTTCGCTGAGCAGGCGGTCTCTGATCTCCCACGCGAAGATTGAGGGGCATTCTCGTTTGTACTGCGCTATCTTGCTTACGACCTCTGCTGTCGCTACGCGTGGCTTTGAACCCCCGATCGCTCGAGGTCGAATAGACCCGGTCTCGTAATATCTAAAAGAAATTTGTTAACAATAATAATAGAAAATTTTTGTTATTAATCAGTATTTAACGTGTTAACATTCTTATATGATTGTTTTATATGATCAGTGTTGTTGGCTTCGGCATGCAACTCTTTTCCTTGTAGTCGGAGGTTCGATCCCCGGCTGGACCAATGGAATTTCTTTCTATATGCGCATTTAACATTCGCTCGAACGGTGAAGGAAAATATCGTGAGAGAACCGGCTTGCATTAGACCCAAAAAGACGACAGCGTGTGTCAGGCACAGGAGGCTGATCACCTACTTCCCTATTAGATTGACAAATGATCATGAAACAGAAATATAAGGCCCAGACCTCAAACTCAAAATAACTTTATTCGTTTAGGTAAACAAGTACACTTATGAACGTAAACAGAAAATATGTTAAATTGATTCTAAATTTAAATTGACTACCATTTACAAGTCTAGGGCATAAGGCGGGCAAGAAGAACTGGCAAAAACTCTCCGCCACTCTCCTTAATCGCCAAGTTCTTTGAACTGGAGCAAACCCATTCCAAGGATTAGGATCATTTTAATATTTGTCAAATTTATAAAAAGCTTTATCGATTAATTTACGTTAACGAGAGTTTTGAATTTATTCAGTGATAATTCTCTAACTTCGCTTGGGAGTTTGTTGTTAAAACTAAAATCTATCTTGTTTAGAACCTAAAAAGGTTGTAGTGTCATTGATTTTTTATTTTTTATTTTATATGTCAGTAAAATGGGACAAAAGTCAGTCGCATATATTTATTTTAACCCACAATAGAATTATGAAAGTAGAAAGTTAATATTTTTGTTATTAGTCTCAACCATAAATAGCACTAGTGAGATATATAAAGTATCAACGGGTTATAAATATGAAAACAGGTTTTGTCTGGCTGTCAGCGAGCGAGCTTTTTGCTTAAGTTTTAAGTCTTAAAAATAACCAAATAAGAACTTGGTTAGATATACTCTCTGGTTTGTTTACTGGTAATTAAATCATATTTTAATACGTATTATTTTTCACATTATACGCCAGGATAATAAATAAATCATTCGTGCTACAACCTTTTTAGGTCTGGGCATCAGATGTCTGTATCTGTTTCATGATCATTTGTTTAATCTAATAGGCAAGTAGGTGATGAGACTCCTGTGTCTGACGCACGCCGTCAACTTGTTTTCCTTCACCATTCGAGCGAATTTTACGCCAGGATATCGGTGCTTTTTTTATTTGGTTTTACAGTGCATAATTTCATCTATCAGACTACAAATATTAACAAAAGCTTGTCACAGCACACTGATACATAAGTAGAGAAACAACTGTTTTGTGTAAACTTTAAATTTGATATGGATTTAAGTTGTTGTACTGTAGAAGTAAAAAAAATCGCGTTTATCAATAAGTTTGGCATTCAAAACTTAATCAGATAGATAGTTATAGATTACAAAGATAGATATAGATAATATACCAAAGACTAAAAAGTAAATAACTGTCCATAACATTAAGAATGTGTTAACTGCTGTCAAAATGATTAACCTTTTAATTCCAATTAGTTATTATTTACTTGTTATTTGTTCTGTTTTAGTTGAAGTGGAATTGTCTCTTTGTTAATAAATGTGTTTATAAAAAGTTTTTGTTGGAATACCTAAGTTTGCTGTTGTTATTTCGTCTCAGACGGTACAGTGTTTAACCGCAAAGTTAATAAGAATATTCCATGTGTCATGAAAATAGATCGTCTTATGTTACACGGTCCCAGGTTAAATAGAGCCTTGGGCCGTGTCTCGAATATTTTGGTACATTTAAGTCCCATATGGCATTTTTAAAGTGTGAAACTTAATACTTGTTCGTACGAACCTTAAATATTAAAAAAGTCTTTTTATTTAATGAATTTGGACAGAGCTATTGTAGAAGTGTTAGTTGATAGAAAACTAAATTTGAATTGTATTAATATAAATGAACTGTACTTAATATTACCGATAGCAGTATATTCACCACAAATATCTATTGTCTATGTTATAAACGAAATAAATCTTTTGAGAATGAACTCATTAATTAACAACAAAAATCACCTCTGTGTTATGTAGAATGAATCGATTTAAAAACTTTTATTAATTAAGAAGAATTGTTTAGTTATGCTTAAAACGCTGATTATAATCATGAAATAAATAGTGCCATAAATTTTGAAATATTTTTATTGCATTCAAACCGAATTAAAAATTTTATACAGGTTGTAACCCTGACGTTACGATGCGGTCGCAACTATGATACTGCGGTTACGGCTAGTTAGACCTGGTATTGATTACTGGCAACATTTTTCGGATAACTGGGTGTAGTGTTACCAGAGATCTATGCTAATTGTGGTTTGGTCTTGATATATTACGATTTATTGAACCATTTGTCATTTTGATTACTTCAAGGTGGCTGTGGTGTGAATTTGTAATTTCATATAATAGCTTCTCAAACTTACTGAACACTTTTTAAGCTAAGTTTTCCAACAAACTCTACCTTAGTATAAAATCAAATGAAGCAGAAATTAGAGAACGAAAAGAAGACTACTCGTAACTGAACCCTCATCTCGATTATTCCAGAGCCACGATTTCTAAACTGGCAAACAACTCTGCTCCGAGATGTGATAAGTTCCAATTTACCTCCTATAATTTACGCTTCAGTTCATGTATGGTCTAAGTATGAAACAGCCATGAAGCTACACGCACCTGCCGAGTATCTTGGACACGCAGCCGTTGGAGACCTGCAGTATCCGGCTGATGTCGCAGGGCCTCGCGCCGGAGTGCGCCAACTCAACGATCTTCTGCCGCGTGGAGTCAGGTAGCGGTCTGCCTCCTACAAACACCCCGCCGAGCTGGTTAACACCGCTGTGACCTGTCCATCACAAGCCTGCTTACTCTAATTAATCACGCCACGTCACAGACTTATGCAACAGGTGTCTACACAGCAGTATATTAGTTTATTATTTTTTATGGTATCAGGGAATAAAAAATAATAACCTAATAGAATATGTTTTTGTCTACATTTTGGCCGAGATTGGCTTATTTATGAATTAATAGAAATTCCTTTTTTTAATCGGTTTAAAGTATGATGGCCATATTTGGGCCTAATTAAAGAGGCGGACTGGGTTTTTGAAGTGAAACTTCTTTAGGCGCATAGAGTTAAATTTTTAAAAAACGTCACAAGGATGTGCAGCGTTTTTGTCGAAGAAAAGGGAGAGAGCGATTTATGAAATATTAGTATTTTATATTTTAAGCAAAATAAATTTATTGAAATCTCAAATTAAAATAATAAATTAAATTTGTTATTTGTATTAATTTTCGACACTTTTAATATTATAATGACAATTAAATTCATTAAATTCCTAACATATCTTAATTTTTCCCTCTCTCTAAGTCTCGGAAATCTAAAGATTTGTATAAATATGAACAAGAGTTAAAAATTAGTTTGCCAAAGAAGTTTCACTTCTGACATGTGTACTTTGTACGCACGCACTTTTTTTAAATTAAGTATAGCAAGTTAGCCACGGCCATCTCCATACTATCTATATTTTTTTATAAGAAAAATGTAATAATCACTATTTGATTCATGGATACTCGTTTCTCTTCGAGGCTGGTTTTCATAGGGTTTTGCTAACATACCTACTATCTTAAGCATTCAAGTAGGTATTTTAGTATTATTTAGCTTGCAAATATATTAAAATGACCATAAGCTAGCGCGGTCATTTAAATAAAATATATGTTCTAAGTTTACCAATATTATTACAATAATTTATTTTAAATTCGTATGAACATGGAAATGTAATGAAGTTATTTGTTTCGATCAGCGTATCACAAATAGCTCTAAAGCTACCCTACCCTATATACAAATTACAAAAGCAAAATAATTGTACTTGTAACAATAATAAATATGGTATACCATAATAATTAAAAGCAAAAGTTTTAATACACTAAATACTCTTTGCTATATTCTAAAGTACCTAAGAAACCTATAAGACTATCGTCTATATGTCTATGCAAATCCTACAAACTTAAGCTACTTTTTTTAATTATAGCTATTATTTACTTTGTTTATTAAAGTAACATCATATATAATACAACTTCCAACAACATTCTAATATAAATCTTGGTCTAAAATATATGGCAATTACGATGAACACATTCACAAAATACCCAGAGCTACCCAGCATCTAAGCTAATAATAGTAAACAATGGTGGTCACCATTACCTTTACCTTTGTGCGCCAGATCGTCCATTCGATCCAGAAGGTTGGTATCGGGTGGCCAAGGGGAGATTGGCGTTATTTGCTGCGCCGGCAGCATTGTGTACACCCCGTATTCTTCTATGATGATGCCCTGTACAGATTACATCTTCTTAATGATAATCTAGGTAAATACTTAAGAATAAATTGGAGATGATCATCGCCATTACTAGTGGCTGGTATTGCGTTATAACTGAAATCGAATCCTCGCCTCAAACTCAAACTTAAAATAACTTCATTCATATAGGTAAAACAAGTACACTTATGAACGTCAGAAAAGAAGTTAAATTAGTTCTAAATTTACATTTACTACCAGTTCGTCAAGTCAAGGGCGTAGAGCGGATAAGAAGAACTGGCAAGAAACTTTCCGCCACTCTTTTTAATCGCTAAGTTTTGAGTTATACAAATTGTTTGAACTGGAGCAAATCAATCCCAAGGATTAGGATCATTTAAATATTCGTCAAATTTATAAAAAGCTTTATTGATTAATTTACGTTTAACGAGAGCTTTGAATTTATTTAGTGATAATTCTCTAACCTTGGCATGGGAGTTTGTTGTAAAATCGAATACAATATCCATATAAGGAGTGGTTTATCTTCTGGAGCCTGGTTGGTCGTACGCTTATATTAGTTCTGTCTCGAGTATTATACTGATGAAAGTCACCATTTGTTTTATTTTCGTTTATATTTTAACAAGGCTTCATAAATATACTGACCAGATAGTGTCATAATATTTAATTCCTAAAAACTTATTCCGTACCGACTCCCTTGGGGAAACACAACAAATACCCCGATCAGCCTTGCGATTCTGTAACTCACTTTTTTGCAGGGTGCGCGAGGTTCAATCATTTTGTGACGATTTGCCCGCCCTCGATTCTGTAACTCACTTTTCAACACACAACAATAAAATACTTCATTGCTTTGTTTATCAGAATGTCAAATCATAAAATGACTGCTTCACGACTGATTTGAGCGCGACCGCCGCTGCAAAAACCCGCTGTGTGAGTTCGAAAAGTGAGTTACAGAATCGCAGGGCAGCCCGCTTCTGCAGCACAAATATGGATTGAATCATTGCAGCAGCACCCTACAGTGGAATACCGTACGACATAACGCCTAGTGGCGCCGTGCGACTCTCATCCCTGAGGACGTAGGATCGAATTGCACCAATGGACTTTTAATATGCACATTTAACACTCCCTAGTCTGACTTGATGGACCGCTAAAGCGAAAGACTTATCGTCCTCACAACTGTACACTGTCACAAAAGTCGCTGGACTGAAACCGGTGAAAACAGATAGATGCGGTTCACGACGCTTAGACATGAGCTGCCGATTAAGGAGAGAGAGTCTGACTTACCTCAGGCACAAAATGCTGGTCACCTACTTGGCTATTAGAAAAAAAAAATTACGAAACAGATACAGTGACCCAGACCTAAAAAAGGTTAGAGCCTTCTTTTTATAAATATGTAAGTACTTAAGAAGGAATATTATTCCATTTTAATATATCTGATTCAATACAGATCCGTTCTTCCGGACTTGGGTGATTCATAAGGGCGTAAACTTTGTCATTTATAATTTAATATGTTTAGATGTATGTAATTTTTTATAACTGACTAAAATGTTATGTGTGGACGTTTTAAATCGAATTCATGTATTTATAAGATAATTAATTACATAATTATACAACTATGATAGGTTTGTTTATATGAATGTATAAAAAGTAATATCTCTCGGCTATTTTGATAATAAAAAATCTAACGACAGTGTTCATTGATCCTTATTCTATGACCCATAGACGCAGGAGTTCGCGGCAATATGACTGTACTTAAAATATATATATAATATAGCTACACTTGAATTGTAAGGATAGTTTGTTTTTTTTAAATTAATTTAGATTTTAATATTTTATATTAGTTTAATAATGACACCAAAAATGTCCATAGAACATAGAGTAAAAAAAACTAAAAAAATCGTAAACATGTCATTGTGACAAGTATCAGTTGATTTGACATTGAGTGACAATATTTATCATAGCGAAATTTGTATTTGTCTGTCAAGAATTCTGAGTTGTATTCTCTTATAATGCTATTGGAAAAATTGACGATAGTGAAATTAAAATCCATCCATGCATTCAACTAGAAACTCACAAATTATTAAAAAATGTAGTTTGTGAGAACAGGTGAAATGGATTTAGTAAATAGGATTAATATTGTATTGATTTTATTAGTTATTAAAGAAATTATTGGTTCTAATGAAGCGCAAGATCTATCGGATACCATTATTAACGACTTATATAAAAAATACATGGAAGCCTTAAATCGAGGTAACATTACAAAAAATTATATAATTTTATGAAATCCCATAAGGCAAAGGACACATTCCTACATATGTTTCATTGATATTTTAATCATAAATTAACTGCGGCGACGGTAAAAATTAAAATCATTTGGACGTCAAGTAAAATCCTTTCAGAAGATTGTCGGTCCAACGTGTTCTGCCTTGTATACGATTTTTCTGTATTCATAAACAAGGGTATATTGTTACTTTACGATAAATACATGTTAATTATTGAAACCACGCTTTACATATTCAATAACTGTCATTTTGAATAAAAAATAGTTTCACTAGTAAGAAATTGTAAGATCTTATAAAAGCGTAGTGTTGGTCGTGCGTTCGAATATCGGCTGTGCACCAATGTAATTTCCCTTCTATGTGCGCATTGAGCACTTGCCCTTACGGTGAAGTTAAACATCGTGAGGAAACTTGCATGTCTCGAACCCGAAAATTAATTTCAGGCACAGAAGTCTGATCTTCTATTAGTCGATAAAATTAAAATTATACGAGAAAGGGTTGCAATCTGAGGCAATTTAGGGTTATACACCACTGGATTATTATTAGGATCCTAAAAAACTTTTACAGATGGAGATTTGGTCATACTACGACGTCAATTCGATCAGAATCAACTATTTGAGATACACGTTAAAAAGTTAAAAGAAGTGAATGGATACAAACTGCATAATCTAATGATCAAAGGGAAAGTACGGTCTGGGAGTCCCTTTATTTACATAAACAATCCAGTTGAATCAAAAATGCCTAACGCCTATTTGACTTTAGAAGAATTTAAGGAGGCATTAACTAAGAGGGTTCAGAAGCATAAAAAAACAACATTGAATTTTGTTGACGTATTTTTCACAACTAAAAAACCTAATACACGCCTTCACGTGAACTCCTCAACTATATTAAAGAATGCCACGAATGTTTTGAATATCACAACGAATCTAATAAGGTCATCCTTTACATCATCATTGAAAGAGGAAAATGCTAGCAATCCAATTGCTTCAACTAAAGCCGCAACGCCTGAGAAGTTGTTGGAAACTACAAATATTTTGAACACTTCTACGACTCCAATTAAACCAGATTCGCCTACCGAAGAAACGAGTCTTACTACAGTTAGAATAGAAGATTTAATGTTTTTGCGAACATTACCAATGAACTACACCTATACTGAAATAGAAAATTATAGTAATATGTCTGGAACTTCAAAGACATACAAAAACAACACTGTAAACCCTATTAATATGACTTCAATCATAGACCCACAAATAAATGATACAAAACATCAAAATGCTTCACACCTACTCAAGGAACAGCAGAAACTAAACAAAGATGTTGTAACATCTGTTGGTTCTATACCGATTACAATAACAAAACTTCAAGACAAGGGAGATATGAGTAATCCTAATAAGACAAATGAAAATCAAATTAAAGATGGAGTAAATATGATAACAGATTATCCCAGTACGAAAATTGAAAGAAATGAAACTTATAACCTTAATGTCACTATTTTAACAAGTCCAGAGATTGATACAACATCATTACCGAGTGTAAGTTCCATCATAAATTCAACGAGTGCTAGTAAAATTCATAACGTCACTGATACACATATGTCATTATTTAATAATACATATAAAACGAACAATATAACTATAGAAGTTCTTAGTACAATTTACACTCAAGTATATCAAAACCATAGTGACGTGACTACCACCGATTTGTCAGAGAAAACTACAGAATCAGTAATAACAAAACTATTGAAACCAGAGATAAATAACGAAAATAACACAGAAAATACAAAACTAGATACATACATCACAGTTGCAACTAAAGCAATTACAAAAGTAATAAATGAAAGTATTACTTTTATTACCAATACTACATTATTGACTAATAGCAGTAATTTAATTACGTCCACAAACACGAGTACTACGCAGACCTCAAAAAGGGTCCCGAAACGAAAAGTAACCTCGGAAATTTCTACTATAAGAACGCCGTGGCGTAGAAGAACGTTAAAGAGGTCTACCACAAAAAGTACGACCAAAACCAGAAGGTCAACGTTGGGAGTAAGTTACTTTTTAATTATAAATTAGTTTATGTTGCCGTCGGGCTTGATTTAAAGTCTATATAAAAATCTATGATTAGCGGCTTTATTATTATAAGGTAATAATGCTTTTTTTATTGAAGTGATATCACAAACATTTAAAATCCGTTCCAAACAACCTATGTTAAGAAATCAATGCATTTCTTTGTAACAAACTTTTATTTGACATCATATTTCTTGCGATGGTTCAGCCATTTGCAGTAGGCCTTTTTAATTAAAGATATATCAAAGAAAAATAAGTTATACAATATAATGGGATAATACATTTATATTTTTGAATACGAATTTGTTAAATAAGTACGTTTAAATTGTTCTACATAAGAACTGAACAGAAGCTTACATATTTGGCTTATTTTAAGTTGGCGCGTTTATAAATAATAAGTAAACGGACTTACTTTATGTTATATCAGACCTATAACATGATATACATACTAATAATTGCTAAAATATATTTATTTTGTTTTTTCTATCAAATAAGCGAACCACTTTTATTTTTCAGAGACCACTTGTATTTATGGGAGGGCCCTGATATAGAGAAATATTAGATGATTTTTTTCTGTTCTTACCTTATAGAACTTTGAGAGAAAAAAATCCTAGTTATTGCTTCTTGCAATAACTGTTGTAATTTTTAACTGCAAAACATTTCACTATGAGCAACACTAAAAACGGGCGTATCAAAATCGTGTTCCCGCCAAACAAATGTTAAAGTGTCAAACGCGCGAACATTGTACTTCTGCTACAGAATAAAGGCGGCACTTCACTGATTACAAAACACAATCTCACGTGGAACTATGACCCTGCCGTCCGCTTATACCTTTATAGAAATGAAGGGCTGATGTTGAGATAGCTCTATTTGGTGGAGCCATAAGTGAAAGAGACAACAGCACTCCACTAACTCCCATTGTCGAGCGCACAGTACTTAGGACTGCTCACTTGCGCGAAAAGGACGCTTGTATATTTAGAAGGTTTCTGTTTTATTTACGCTCCGCCCATTTCTCTTTTATTCCCAAGTGGTGGGGCGAAGTTGGACAGTTTTAAATTATCTATTATAATAAAATTATTTTGTGAAATAAGGGGTTGGTTTTGTTAATGACGTGTTTCATTTGCGTAGTCGTCTTTAGCGCCAGGTTTAATTTCAATAAAATCAATAGATTGGACTTGGTTATAACCTCGAATGTCTGAAGTTATACATAAGTAATTTTAGCAATATTGAAGGACTGACAATTACAAGAATATTAAACACCTGAAAAACAAATGCAACATTTTTAGTAATCTAATTGGAAATCAATATATGGAAAGAAAATCTTTAAATAAAAATTGGAAATATATGCATACATCTTCCAGCAATTTAAGATTTCAGTACATAGTACATTATTCATGATAATTTTACAACAGCAATAATACCGAAACACCGTAGCAAAAGGAAAAAAATCCTAATCTTAGTCCAGAATTATAAGTATTGCAAAATTGAACTTTTTGTTGAGAAAATAGGATTGGATTTCCTTTGTCTAATTAAATAAAATGTTCTGTCAACATCTGCGGTCGCATTTTGGTTTATCTCCCCCGCATAACCGTTAGTCACACAAATATTATCTGTGACCAATAGCACGTGAGCTCGGACGATTTTCAGCCAATCAAGCGGTTGAAATTTTTGGCGTCAAACGCTTCCCTTTTGTTTTCTTTTGAAATTGGAATTTACGTTTTGGCAACGGTATTCTGATGCACTCTGGGCATTGCAAAAGTGCCGAACTTTAAAACGGCAGTATTGAATAAACAGTTATGACTTAGTTTGTCTAAGAACAACTTTCAATAATCAAACAACGATCATCATAACAGTATTAGTACAGTTGTATTTATTAATTTGTTTAATTAGCAAAAATTTAATCGTATTAGAAAAATAATTATTAATAAAATTATATTTCAATAAGAAAGGCACGGGGCACTTTTCCGAGTCTGTTTTGTTAGTAAAAAAATCTATAGGCATTTGTACATCAAGGCCTATTTAGCATAAAAGTTATATGTCCATTATTATGAAAACTGAAAACTTCACTTCTTGCACTGCACCAGCTCCTCGGTTGAGGCCTCCACTTAAAAAACACAACCGCTTTAGTTGATTAGAAACTACATCTAGCCACTAAACTAAGTAACTTTTATTTATTAAAAAAAATATACAGAAATTTGTGAAGGAACAAATTGGTCACAAATCTCCGTCACCCGAAGAGTCAACATTCATTACAATAATATACATACTTAAAAACAAAATTAATTACCTACTAGAAACTAATTAATATAAATTAAACCTATGATTAAATTTATATACCATCGAAAACTTGAGTATTTCGCATAGTTCTATAAAACGTTTGTTTGGAAAGAAAATTCATATAAAATATAGGAAAACCTCACCATTCTTCCTCTAGGTGGACATGACTTCGGCAGATAACAAAGAAAATTCTGAATTAAATTGACTAAAATTGTAAATTGAATATTAGATCTGTGAATGTGGCTTAAGTAATATTTAAGTTTATACTTCGATAACGATTTAAAAAGATATATAAATAAATTCTTAAAACGTTTTTTCTCGTCTCGCTAAAACTCGATAATGGCTGGATCGATTTGGCTAATCGTGGTCTTGAAATATTTGTGGGAAACAATAATAATATGTAAAGAAAAATACTAAAATGACTATTGAATTTTCCAATAAAAACTGTTTCTACCTGCGTTATATTTAATGTCTTTTTTTTAGAAATAAAAAATGTTTGCCTGATTGTCATATATTCAAGGATGCCCTCCGAAATAGCGGTAGTATGAGTTCCGATCCCTTTGGTCTGTTTTAAAAAAATTGAATTAAGTTTTGATACAAATATGTAATTTCACCGGGTCATCTAGTTTAAAATGTATCTTTTTTCCTATACCTACGTTAAATATACAGTTCCTACCAGTGACAGTACTCTGTAAATAGCGATATATGATATTAGCTCCAGAATACCCCGTCATGGCTTTAATTTTAAATGTGGTTTAACATCTATTTCTTAATCATTTCAATCGTATCTTTGGGTCTGCCTGTACTTTTTTATAGCATAAAACTTTTTAATTAATAGATAATAGGCTGATAGGATAATATGTGAAAACCGACACCCAGTTAACTCGAATATGTAGTCGCCACTTTGAAGTATAAACATATCATTTACTACAAACACACACAAAAATAATAATCCAAAAATTTTAAGGTACATTTTAAGTGTGTTATATGTGTGTGTTGTCGTTGTAACTAGCCCTGGCCCAGCATTATGCTGTGGAGAAGACGTGTTCCACGGGATATTATACCAACATTTCGTCGAGCTATATTTAAAACTCCCATGAAATTATGCCGCCCGATGCTGGGGAATGGCAAGCTCCTGAGTACAACTCCTAACTTTGTTCCCGCTGACATTTCTACGCCAGGGGATCTCTTTATAGATATTCAGGGTGTTTTAGTATATACCATGTCAAATAACTAACATACCATAAAATATCAAGGAATATAAATGTATATCTTGGATCAAAGAAAAATATAAAATAAACGTTATGTTCTCGCGATGAATAGGGTTGATTATATACATAAGTACATAACTACAATGAATGCATTATCTCGAATTGACTCCACGATGCAACCACTGAGCACACTTCCTACAACTGCAATTATTATGCAAATTACGGTAATTAAGTATGCCTCATTATAGATTATGCGTTTCAGCGCATGCGCAGGTATTAGAATAACGCAATAGTTTTCAATCTCTCTTCATAGCATAGAAATTAAATCCGTGTCATTTCACTCTATTAAAAGTCTATCACAAAATAGTAAAGTTACAAGATAATTCTTTTAAAATTTAATAATTAAAAAGCTTTGTAAAGATTACCTAGAACCTTTTCGGTATATAAACGAGATTAACGTTCGATTTGTAACTTGTAAAAAGTTTCAAAATAAAAAAAAGTGCGTGCGTACAAAGTACACGTGTCAGAAGTGAAACTTCTTTGGCAAACTAAGTTTAAAGTCTTGTTCATATTATTTATACAAATCTAAAACTTTATGTTTCCGAGAATTAACGGGAGGGAAAAAGGAAGATATGTTAGGAATTTAATGAATTTAATTGTCATTAAAATATTAAAAGTGTCGAAAATTAATACAAATTTTAAATTTTTTTTTTTCATTAATTTCTTCGGTCATAAAAACACGTGGCATTTTAATTTACAATTTGTCATTTGAAATTTCAATAAATTATTTTGCATAAAAAATAAAATACTAATACTTATTTCATAAATCCTCTTTACGAAATTTTAATATTAAAAATATAATTTCTATAAGGTAATTTGCCCTTCTCACTCTCTCAATCGGTCTCAATCGGTCTCAATCGCTCTTTCCCTTTTCTTCGACAAAAACGCTGCACATCTTAGTGACGCTAATATTATTATTATTGCGTTTCATCTGTCAAAATTTTACCCTCATGCGCCTAAAGAAGTTACACTTCAAAAAATAACATTGTATTTCGGTAACAGTTGAGTAGTGTTGGCCTAGTGGCTTCAGCGTGCAACGTTCATCGCTGAGGTCGTAGGTACCCCTGAACAAAGTCCATTGGTTCTTTCCATGTGTTCATTAAACACTCGCGTAGGTGTAGGAAAACATTGATAAACTGAGGCATGCCATAAATCCAAAAAGTTCTATCTCAGGCACGCAATATAGACCTGAAAGGTTGTAGGACCACTGGATTTTTTATACTATGTGCAACATTTTTTTATAAAACTCGGCATACGGGCAGGAGTTGATGTTAAGTGATAGGTACCGCCCGCCGCCTAAGGACACTCACATTGCCAGAAGTATCGCAAGTGCGTTGTCAGCCTTTTAAGAATTGGTACGCTCATTTTTTAAAGGACCCTAAGTCGAATTGATTACGAAATATTTCAGCGGGCAGCTAGTTTTAGTATTTACAAATAATAACACCTAATCCTAACACGTAATTAGCTATGCATTTTTTTTAAGTAAAATTTATTACATTATTTTCGTTTCGAGTACTTTACAATCTCGTTATACAAAAAATATGACAGATTTCCGTTAAACGTTACGTTAAACCATAAAATAATTATTGAAGTGAAACTTCTTTATCGGGGTTGGAAAAAATTTAGTGTAACATTTTTGCGTTACGCGTCACATTTTTCCGTTACGCGCCATGTTGCTTTTTGAAGTCAAACTTCTTTATCGGCGTTAAAATATGACATATAGTATGTTTTTGACTTTGAAGTTTGACAACGGATTACATTTTCGAAGTCAAACTTCTTTATCGGCGTTAAAATATGACATATAGTATGTTTTTGACTTTGAAGTTTGACAACGGATTACATTTTCGACTTGAAATTTGCTAATCGCAATTTGCAGCAATTAATTTGTATACAATTTACTAAGGCAGTGTATCAAAATTTACTGTGTTTAAAGAAATAGTTTCTAATAAGGTCATAAAGAAGTTTCACTTCTTACGTGTGTACACCTAGTACACGCAC